CTATATATGTTTAGTTTTATAATGTCACACCCACTGAAATGCCCCCACTTCAACAAACTCAACGTGGCCCACGGGCCACCAGTTGGTGATCACAATTTTAGCACGTTTTGCGGCTGTGGACACATTTTATTAGTTGAGCCGAGGAGCAGAAACGACTCTATTGATTATAAAGTTTGCAGACCTGAAAGACTTGACATGAAATTTTTAGTTTGATTCACAACAAAAGTGCTGTTAAGTCATTTTGTATTTGATTGCAGCAAATTAAAAAGTGATATTTGATCAAATATTTGCTATTTAATCTGTATAAAATATCCTTCAAATCTTTAATAGTCCCAAACATTTCCTTAAGAAGCASGCATCAAACCGTGAGCGTCTCCTCGGGAAAGCCTGACGTTTTTGAACGTGCTCGGTGTGAAGACATGTGGACGTCTGGCTCTGCGTGACACTTSCAGATTGAGAGGATTGTTCTGCTGCAGTTGGAGAAAACAATCCTCTTTCTATTGTTTACACTATAATCACAAATCTCCCAGTGGCTCCTTCCTCTGCTCAAACTCCTGGCTCTGCTGCAGCCGTGTTGTGTGTGTGTGTGTGTGTTGTGCTTTGACTTGACCAGCTGTTGGACACACTTCTGTACACATTAACTCTCTGGCTTTCACTCCTGGCTGATCTGGGACCAGATGTAAAAAGGGCCCACCGCCGCTCATAAAGCCTCAAGCAGAAGTTGTGGTTTCTAATAGTCGTTTTTATTTTTAGAAATCGAAGCTCTGAGCTGAACACAGGTGGGAGGATTGTGTGTGTCTGTTTGATCGCTGTGTTGTGTCCGGACAGCTCCAGGGACAGGGGAAGGATTTGACACGTAGGCAGCAGAAAGCCACATGACTTCAGCCTGAAATGTAAACAGATCTGTCAAACAAACCTACACACCAACGACTCACCAGCACAGGACGAGTTCACGTAAACCTTTTAATCATTTGAATAATAATCGAAAAGAAATACCTCCCCTCTCAGATGTTTGTGCTTTCTGGACTTTTTTAATCTGTCTCTGTGTGTTTCTGGAGGCCTGGAAAGACGCTCTGTAATTAGAGAGAGCTGCAGATTAAATGTTTGCTTGTTAAAAACAAAGAGAGCTGCAGGAATTTTTCCACATTTGTTTGTTTGGACACACATTTTATAACCCAAGAACTGTGAATGTTTGCTCTTTTGTGTTGTTTTGAGTCTTTTAAGGTGTCATRTGGACTCATTGTGTCTTCTCTCTCTTTCTCCTCGCAGATAAATCAACAGCGGGGAATTCTTCAAAGAAACTGGCTGCTGCTTCTGCAGATTTTTCATTTTCCCCACCTTCACGGGGCCTCCTCTTTTTTTATTTTTTATTTTCCCCCTTCTTTATCTCCGGACGAGTGCTTGACTCCTGATGTGTCCAAGTGTCTCTGAGACCCAGACTCTGCTGAAAAGACTGAACGATGAGAAATAAATAAATAAATAAAAAAAAAAATGAACAAACAGCTGGCCTGCGGTGACAATGAAACAACAAATGGCTGCTGGTGCGAGTGCCTTCGATAACGCCGTGATCAGAGCCAGCGGCCTCTTCTGGTTGGATGGCTCCAAGCCTGACAGACATTAGGATGACTAATGATGATGGCACAGCGATGGTTAGAGGGCGGTCACAGCCAATTTATGTTTACAGCTAAAATACTAATAAGCTAATCACTCTGGCTCTTAAAAAGAGAAGGAGGAAGAGCTGAAAAAAGAAGTCTGATGCAGATCTGCTTTTCTGTACTGCAGTAAACCCAACAGCTTTCTGTCTTTTTTTTTAAAGCATTCATGTAAATTTGGTGTACGCACTGCTTATGCTTGTTTTAATACAAAAAAACCCCACTGATCGCAGCTGTTTATTTACATATCAGCCCATGTTGTGAGCAAGTAGCTGCAGAAAGTCGTGCTCTAAGTGGAGACTTTAAAATGTCTTTGTAATAATTTTAAAAAAACAAACAAACCAGCAGGTTTCTTAGAAAATGTGCCAACGTGTTGATGAGGTGATTACAGGCAGAGTAGAGCAGAATGTTTTGTAACTGTGTGAGAAATAGCTTTTTGATTATGTTTCTTCTTTAGCGTTTTTCCTCCGCGTTTGCTTTAATCATTTGTCTTTTGTCAACAATAAAATTTTACCTAATGTAAATAATGAAGGAATTTATTTGTTTGGTTTTTGGCACAAAAACACATCTTTTTGAGGACCTCAAGAGGACAAAACATGATCATAGAAATACAGTAAATCTCTTTCAAATGTATATAATTTATTAAAGATTGTCTTAAAACATAACAGAAAGGTAAAAAGGTAGAAAAAAAAGACCAAAAAGTTATTATTTACACTGTACAGGAACAAAATCAAATGGTCAGTTTTGCCAAAGGCAGACTTGAAGTTTAAATGGTTCATTTTCACAGGTTAGTCAGAATGATCATTCARCTGATAATTTGGTCTCTAGGCTTCATTTCTGAGATCATATAAAAAAACAAACAATCTGCATTAATTAAGACAAAGGGATGAAACAAAAAAGTTTGTTTTTGTCATGTAAAATGGTTTAAAGCTACAATAAACTGCAGAAACGTCCGTCGCTCTGCCGCCGTCATGCGATTTCACATTTTTCTGACTTTAAAAAGTATTAAAGAGCTTCTGAGAGGCATCTTCAGAAAGAACAGGAAAGAAAGCAAACATACTGTATTAGCACCATCTTAACTGTGTTAGACACGCATCAGAACACATCAAAGACACGTCAAGGATATGAAAATATAAATACATGTTAAAGTCAAATGATTCTGTTTATGGATCTGTGCGTTTGATGCTTTCTGACTGTTTGGAAAGAGAAAAGAAACATTCACAAAGTCTTTGAGGCCATGCCAGTCCTCGGACAGCACATTGTTCTCATAAACCCTGGTTGCGGTAACCTGTGTCCAATTGAGTGTGGATATCACTGACTAGAAGTTCAACTACCTCAGTGTTTCTGCTCCATCATCGCTGCTAAACGCCACAGATCGGTCCAGGGAGCAAAGCTGCCCCTGAACATGTCAACAAACGGCACGGCGCTTTGTAAATCAAGAATAGACGACTGTCCTTAGTAAGAATAAAATAGTAAAACATTGTAAAAACGCAGCAGGAATGCTCATCCACAAGAAACACTTCACCACATTACCTGACCCTTACGCAGTGTAAGTGCACTTTGTGTGATTGTCATGAATCCAAAATATAAAAATGCGGTCTGCGTTGTCACATGATACAATCTTTACTGAGTGGTCACGTTGCACCGAGGCATCATGGGAGGTTTCTGTCCTTTACGACACGCGTGAACGTCTCAGCGTCACCTCCCGWCACATCGATGCCCCGGTGAGAAGAGGTATTAGCTATTTATCGTGACTAATGCCACCGGTACAAATTACAGTATGCTGACATGTTTAAGATACACTTCGTGAAAGACTGATGTGTCTTCTTCCATCTGTCAGAGGCTGAAACCAATTACTGCAGCTATCTAAACTCTCGCTGCATGTGCTCGTCTGACAGGCCAAGAAAGAAAGAAGTAAAAAACAAAAAGAGGTTTAAGAAAATACRTGGACATAAAACCAATAAAAAACATACAGTATGCATCTCAGATTTCATTGTAGCTTCACTCTGGGTTACTGAAAGGTTTTCAGACTGACATTCACAAAAAACGAGCGCCATGAGTCAAACGAATGAATATTCAAAGAGAGATCAAACAAAGTGTTTGATTGTCGACTCGCTTCTCCTCAATTATTGTCCAGTTGGAGAGCGATACAGTGCAAGAAGATAAATAAAGTCTTTGTTTTTCTTCATTCATTTTTTGCCACCTGCAGAAAAATGGCAGGGGTTATTTTTAATTTGTGGAGCACCTGCCTGCTCCGTCACACCTGTCGTCTGAGTGGTCCTGTGCACAGTCACTTTTGTTCATGCTACATCGTGTTGCACCCAGTGCTACGAGGAAGTACAGATTCTTCATTTTTTATGCTTTTGGGCTTTAAAAATAAAATAAAACCTGGGATCAGCGACTGAAAGCTCCTTCAGGAAGAGACCTCAGGAGAATATGAATGTGGTCCATCTGTTCCTCGGTGTGTCTGAACCTGAGTGGTCAGACTGCAGACAGTAGTAATGCAGGAGGTTCTGCTTCCAGTGACGAGCCGAATGCATAGTTTTTGTACGTGTCTCTGTGTTCGTGTGTGTTGGCACCAAGTTAAGGCTCAAGGGATCAGACGTTTTCCTCACATCGAATCTTTTTTCTCCGATATTATTTCAGGCTGTTTCCTACAAAAACAAAGAAAGGAGAAGAATTTATTACATTTAACTTTAATGTAATGATTCAACGCTAAATATTAAGAATATAGCTCAAAGTGTTTTTGAAGCAGGGCTCTGTGGAAATGTTATAAATAATTAATATCTTACTAAATGAATTTAATTCAGAGAGAATCGATGAGCTAATGGCTAGTCCGCATTTGATTAAAACCAAAGTGGACTGTTGTGGTCTTAAAAGGCCTGTGACATCAGACTTTTGTAATAAACATGAACACATTTTTGGAAAGACAACATTGATAACGTGTTGCAAAACAAATTTCAYGCCGCTGAGATGAACGGCTGTTGAGACATTTGCATGTGAAGAAACAGGAAGTGATGTCAAAGAGTAATGTCTGCACGTAAACAGAGCGTTGTAACAAAAGCTGACTGTAGAGAAGAATCTGATGTTTCTTTAGATTATTTTGAGTCTCTAGCAAAGAGAGACGAATACAGTTCAAGTTCAAATAATATTGTTTTAATAAACAAAAATCAGAGGGTTTATTTTATTAATGAGTTCCCCTTTGATGTCACTTCCTGTTTCAATTTGGCTGAGAAAAATTCAAAAGAAAATATGCCAGTTATGTGACAAAATGGGTAAAATCGTGTACTGTGCCAATTTTCTTAAGTATAAAGATGCTTTCTTTGACTTTTTGTATTTGAAGGATAAGCGTGTCACGGGCACTTTAAAGAAATTTATAAAACTTTAACTTTTCATATGATACAAACATTCTGGCAAAAATATTGTAACATTCCTGCAGGACTTGTACCAGGCTGCACAGGAAATGCTACAGCTAACTGCTGCTTCTTGTGCTATAAGTTTCATGTAAATATCCATATCATAAACATAACATTCTGTCATTTTTAAGACTACAGATGTTTTAAGATGGCAGCAATCCACTCTGGTCTTGGCCCAGCTCTGACTAGCCATTAGCTCATCAGTTTAGTCACAACTAAATTCCAAACTAACATTGTTGAAAGAGCTTTGGTTGTTAAAAAAATCATAGCTTTTCCACTGAGCTCCACTTCAAATATCTATTCTAAGTTCTCCGCACCGTTCTGATGGGAGGGATCCCATGGACAGAGAGGCGATGGCGTTGGCTGCCTCGCTGTCCGAACCTCTCCTGAGTCTGTGTCTCTGCGCCTGCAGGTAGGACAGATCCACGGTGGCGACTGAATCCCTCACGCTCTGCCAGTACTCACCTGTGGGAAGCAGAGGGATGGAGAAACAAGGCGAGCGGGGAGGAAAGAGGAGAGAAAAAGATTAATGGCCTCAATGTTTGTTTCGTTGTTGTTTTCATCCTGGATTGTTCCTTGAGGGGAAGTGTCTAAATCACATTAAAAAATAAAAAAAATAAAAAGAACACTACATGGTGTTTGATCCACTGGCTGTAGATATTTGATCTGAATGTAAGCAATGACTGTGGCATAAACAACCTGAGGTCTAAATATCCGTGTTGATACTTTCAGAAATGTAAACTCAGATCCGGTCCGTTCTCTCACTCTGCAGTTTTGTGTCACACAGTAAAGAATAAAGAAAAAAAAAAAGGCTAAAAGTCAGTGACTGCAACTGTGTTCATCTATAAGTGAGTGTGTGTTCTGGCTGAGCATGCAACTTCCATATACTTCACCCTGGGCCTGAATTATGGGCTTAACATTCCTGTGGCTACTCAAATATTTTTAATTAATCTAATTTGGTTGGGATAACATTTGTGTGCAATCAGGAGGGGATGTTGTGAAGGTCGTGTGCCAGAGAAATGTTTGAAGATAATTGGAGCCAGGGCGGCTGTGTGCGAGTGTGTGCATGTGTCTGTGTGTGGGACGGCTGGAGTGATGGGAGACAGGGACGTAAAGGAGGAGAGGTGGCCAGAGAGACGGGTGTTAGAGTAAGAAAAACACAAAGACACACTGTTTGGTTAACATTAAAAACAAACTTTTAAAGTAAAACTGAAAACATGGCTCAAAAATGAACAATTTTATGAAATTGATGCTTTTTTTTGTAAAGGGTTTCGTAAAATAAAAGGACATGTGGGTAGTTTTTATGACAAATATATATGTTGGTGGATATTCAGTCAGTACTATGGTAGATTATCAACATGTTTAATATAAATCACCTCCAGAAATGACTGATGGAATTTTGTTTTTTTCCCACACAAACCAGCTGAGTGAAATTTACTTTCAGCTCATATTTATCATGACAGCTGCTGTATGAGTKTTTTGAACGACTCAGAGCAGCAAAACCTGTAGAAGGATTTTTTCAGGGTACAGTACTATGAACTAGTCTATTGGTTTCATGTCACTTGTGCTTCAGGTTGTGTTTTCTCACCCTGAATCTGGACGACTCTCTGCAGGGAGCGTGTTGCGTTTTCACAGGGCTTCTGGTCCAACACAGACTGGGCCAGAGGCTCCACCTGAGACATGTCACAGGGACCGGATTAGAGCAAAGATCAGAGACACAACCTGTGGTTACATGGATACAAGTAATCAGGATAAATGGCCAATCAGAATAAAAATGTGTAATCTGAATGCCCCTGGTTTATGCCGATAGATAATCTGAACAATGTGCAAGTAAAAACTTATTCTGATCATCTTATGCTGTTTGTGGAAAACTGACTGCACATGTGAACACTACGTCCACCTGATGTATTTCCACTTGGTTAGATGCTAATGTCGTGCAAGTAAAATTGGTCGGTTAGCCATACACTTTTTATTAGAAACTTTGAAAGAGCTCAAAATTATTGAACACCTTGATGGTCAAAAGTGTAGGAACATGAAGGTAATGTCTCCATTGTTATTAAAACCTGGTGCCGGTCCATTCTGGGYGCTCAGAAGACACAGAACATCACAGAAGTACAACTTCTTCTTCTGTGTTTTTTTAGGGGAAGTTTACAACTCTGCTCTCTGTGCTTCTATTCTGAATTAAAGCCTTGTGCATGTAAATACTCGTCATGATCAGATTAATTAATTTAGTGCCCATATAGACAATCTATTCGGATTATTTAATCGTAATATACTTCTGTTTGATTATAGAATTCTGCACATGTAAACATAGCTACAGATACTGCCCGTGCACTGAGCACCTCACCTCCATGCCCAGCAAGGCGCTGACACAGGCTTCAGAGGCGTCGCAGATGGCTTTGAGGTCATGTCCCCCCTCCAGAGCGAGGACTACCCGGCCCCCGGCGAGCGACATCAGCTGACGAGTCAGGAAGCCGAAACCTGGGCAGAAACGGACACAAAAACATGAACACAAATAAAGCTAAAAGACTTGTGTAAGCAGTTTTTAGTATCTTTAAGCATCACACTTGTTTGAGTCAGTGAGAATGTGGCTCAGTCTTACACTTGGCTGTGACCTTATATCCTCCCAATGAAGACGGATGTCCTTCAACAGCATCAAAACCAGCTGACACCAGCACCACATCGGGGGAAAACTCGTGGGCGATGGGCATCACCACGGCTCTGAGGACAAAAAGAGGAAAACACAGAGTTGAAAACCAAAAGCAGTGCAGTCTGGGCGCCGTGGACCCTTCCCTGACATCTGATGGGAACTTGAAAGCACGTTGAAGGAGTTGTGTTTTCAGCAGGTGATCATGAGTTGTGAGCAAATGAGAACTCTCAGGAGTGAGTCAAATTGAATGTGAAAAAAAGAAGTCATAGAGCGACTGAGAAGGGAAACAGATTTACTGTAATGACCAGAATTTAGCTGCCAACAACAAAAACATAACCGTAAAAAATYATTGATTTTCAGCAGAAACATTCGTGCATTGTAGGACTTTTCTGGATTGTTAACTGCTAACGTTTACTGGATCGTACACTCGTTTTTTTTTAAATGATGAAAAGAGAAATTATCAAAGGCAATGCTCCAAGTGCTTGATCTCAGTTCTTGATGCACTCTTGGTAGGCAGCCAACACCAGGAGGTAGAGCAMCTCCCAGGTGTGAATGTGTGCAACTGTTTAAAAGTGAAGCAGAACCCCACTGATATAAAAAAAAGCATTTGAAAGCTTTTCAGATTAATTTTTATGCGTATACAGTGAGTTTGGATGAAATAATGGGGAAAAAATGGATGAGGGAGTAAACTTTAAACAGGTGCCAAAGACTAAATAATGCCAATAATTATTTGTATGAGACGTCCTCATGTTGTATACTCTGGTCAGTGGTGACCACTTTCCCCGCTCCTTTACTCGACATCTTACTTCCTCTTGTCTCCTGCTGCCAGTTATTTAGCAAGAGCGCACGGTCCATGCCGCGTTTGATTCTCTCTCACTCACTCTTTTTTCTCTCAGCGGCAGTTCAAAGGCATTTGTGTGCGTCTGGTTCCTATTAGGAGCTCGTCCCTCTTCTCACGTCACTGACAGCCAGCCATCTGGGATCCATTGGGCCTAATTACGCCGCCTTTGGATTCCCTAACAATGCACCCCCTACTTCTTCTCCTCTTTTCTGCTGTTTTCCCCCTCTCCTCCATAGCTCATTGTTTGTCAGTAGTAGCACAGGACGGCACAAGCACTCGCCTACCTGCCTGCGTACTTGTGCTGCCTGCCAGCGGACGACCTGAGGTGCTCCACAGACGGCGTCACGACACCGGATCTCTGTGCCGCCGTGCTCACACCTCTTGATTGTAATGGGGTCTCGCCGCCACTATCAACCACAATATTTCTCCTGTCACTAAAACACACCCAAAACCAGACGCTCATCATCAACAGCCATGCTGTGTTCCAGCCGGAGACACATACATGCAGCCGTTCAAATTCTAAACTGAAATTGAATCAGAGAGCTGGCACTCGGTCAGACAGATTTAACTGCACAAACATGAAGTTATGATGCCTTTTTTTCCTCCATACAGTCTGCTGTATACTCTGTGACACCATTAAAACAAAAAACACCAGACTGGGGAATTATTTAACATATTGTATTTATTTCTAACCATAACTTTTACTGAGGTATGTCTTTTCTGTTCTGATCACATGTGACAAAGGTCTTTGCCTGCCATCCAGAACATCACAGCTGCACCATGTGCCACAAAACCACCGGGCCACCAGGACGTTCYTCCTCTCTTATGATGCGAGTTTCATAGGCAGCACACAAAATGCTACAGTACTACACATTGTGGTTAGCTGAGGAAGCTTTACACATGAAAACACTTGCAATTTCCTAAACTAAATGAAAAAATACTAAAACCAGACGCCTGCTCAGGAAAAGACCAGTTGTTTCTTAATTAGCATCGAGGGCTACAGTAAACACTGGACTTGGTGTTTCTGAGTCTGCCTACTGGGTCAATGGATTTTTACCAGAGTGGGTTCACTCATTAGCATCTTTTCTCTGATGAGAAGCCCACCCACTGTGTCTGCTGTAAGCACCGTGAAGAGCTCACATAGCGTTTTATTCATCTGGTGGCGAGCCAGTGCTGCTGACAGACACATTCTGGGTTCATTACGGTGCAGCGCAGAAACCAACCGCATTCATTCAGGACTGAATGAAACGAAAAGTGGGCAGAGAGCAAAAGGTGTGTCCTGGTATCACACAGCTGTATGGCTCTGTACGTAACTCAACAATGAGGTTTTGTGAATGTGTAATTACTGATATAATTTTTTAAAACCACATTAATGTTGCTGCTCTTTAAAAACAGCGACACCCTGGCAGCAGTCCAACACGTATGAGTGAAAATGGGATTTGAACAGATTTTGCAGAGACCACGGGGGGTAATAAATGGAAGGAGTAGTAACCCACACTCCTGAGCTGCACAGAGATGGTGTTTCATAATAATGGTTTAAAAGACCACCAACATATAGGAGGGCTTTGCATTTTAAATATATGCAAATTTATCTGACCTGCTCTTCCAACTAGAAATCATCAATCAGAAAACTACATATGATACAACAAACAAAAATAATCTTTGGAAAATAAATGTTTAAAGTTGAAGTCTCTCCTTGTTAATTTCTTTGACACTCCAGTGGCTCTGCACTATAACACCAGTGTCCTGATACCAGTTTTACTCAAACCGAGTACAAGTTTGCGTACTTCAGTTTGCTTACTTACGGAGTCGAATACAAACATTTTACAATGACTTTAAAAATGCATTTATTTTATTTAGAACAAGGTGGCTCTCCATCCTTATAGGCCTACAGCCCCTCTGACTGCATCAAATCAAATATACAGCATGATGAATGTTGCTGAAACATTTTAAAATAAATAAAAATAATCAAGAAGGTTTTCTTTCAACTTTTATAAATTTCTTTAACATGAAACTGACAAACGTAATACATTTAACGGAGTATCAACACCAACAATGATGTATCAATACTGATATTGATATCGATTCCGAGTATTGGGCACTTTTTACAAGCATGAGTACTTGTAAAAATGCTGGTATACGGATACCAGTGTCTTTACTGAGACACCACTAACACCATTAATGTTTAACAGAGCAACGTTGCCTTATTAGTTAGTTTTTAATTAATTAGTCAAACTTTCACATGTCGGTTCATGGTCAGACATGGAGGCTTTTTTAAAATAATTTTTTAATTCTATTGTTCTTATTTTTAACAACAACAACAACAACAACAACAACAACAACAACAACAACAACAACAACAATGTAAACAGGGTGAAAAAAAGTTTAAAAAAGTAAAAAAAGGACAAGAAATATACAGATTCAGCCCTACGATTTTGTTTAAAAATATTCTATAAATTCAGGTTTGATAATGAATTTTTCCTTTTTTATCAACTTGATTAGTTCATTTGTTGCTCGAGTCCAAACAAGCACTGAAGTTGTCTGGAGGACAAAAAAATCATTAAATACAAAGCATGTCCTTGTGTAGAAGGGTTTGTCTTCTCTGCTACTGTTCTACCTCTGTAAACACTGACGACAGTCTGTCAGAAAGACAAATCAAAATTTAGCTAATTTACAGTTTCTGTGGAGTTCATGACTGGGTTAAGCCACAGGTGGACACATTTTATAATTATAATAATATATATTATTTTTATATTCTGTGCAGTCAAACTATTGTATTATCATTTTTTGACCTTTTTTAGTTTTTTGAAGAACTAAATTTTTTCTTTGGAGACAACTAAATGTCTAATTTTTTAAACATTATGTCAAGAAAACTACCAACATCTGCAGTAACTTCTGATCATGAAAACTTTATGTGTCTGTGTTTTTGGCATCATTAAATATTTTGAAGTAAAATGCTTTACTTATTCTTATTAACTCATATTATAAAGTCTTGTGTGTGTGAAACCTAGGCACGTGTGTGGAAGATCACACTGTATACGAGCACATATTTATGAGTATATCACTTCCTTGTGTCATGCTAAATTACACCCCCTGCACTGGTAATCCCATTAGGCTAGCTCAACAGGCTAATAGGGGGGAGTAATGGGCCCAGCTAGATGTATCTAGGGGAACACTAATAAGCCGTGACACCACTCACACTGTTAATTGCCCCAAAACTAACCTAAACAATGGAATCAACCCTGTTGGAAAAGACACACTGACAGACAGCCCATCAAAATCTAGTAGTACAGTCAGATGCCAATAACGGCATGAATACTCATCATTAATTTATGACTCAAAGCATGCACACAGATATTTTGCATTGTTATACTTTGATGAATATGTTTGGATAACACAGTTTTGTATAGTGATACTGATTGGGAACAAAAGAATATATGTGTATGAGTGTTTAATTAGTTGGTGGCCACATGGAAGTATGTGGACTCATCTCCTATCATTGCTTTCATCATCAAAGTCATTGACTCTTTAACCCCTCTTCATGTATCTGTATGGAAGGATTAAGGAAACAAGGGTATGTATGCAAGGATGTGTAAGTGTGTGCACATGCGTGTGTGTGTGTGTGCGCAAGAGTGGAAAGCTTAATTAGCTTGCATTTGGTATTCACGCGTGGTGACTGCAGGGAATGAGTTAATTGCTGTCCAATTCAAACGTTGACACACTTTCAAAGTTTTTCCCCTCTCCCTGTCTCCCCGACAGAAACCAATGAGGGGCTACAGATCACATTTACTAGATGAGAGCAAGCGAGAGAGAAAATACGGTAGACACTGAGGTAGTATGAGAGAAAAGATGTATTAGACTAAAAGAGAAAACTGGCTGTAGAATAAAAATGAAAAAAAAAATGTAAAAATAGAAATACTAAAATATTTGAATGAATATTCAAATCTTGATGCACTTCAAACTAAATATATCTAAAATATCTGTATTTATTTTGTGTGTGTAAGTAAAACTTATTGGACATTTACAGCATGTAAGAAAATAAGGGAAAAAGTTTTTAAAATGATAAATGGCTTGAACTTATATAGCACCTTATCAAGTCCACATGGACCCCAAAGCGCTTTACACTTCAATCATTCATCCATTCACACACACATTCACACACCTTTTACCAAGTTTTGGCACATTATTCTGACTGATTATTATTACTACAATGTAAAAATGAGATAACAGTACCTGCGGATCAAACAAAAAGTAAGGGCGTCCGTTTTTTATCTGGATAGCCAGAAACTCTTCCTGATCTCCTGGAGAGAAGGCACAAAGCAGGAGGCCATCTGGAGACCAAGTCTTGAAACTCAACTCAACACCTAAGTTGAATCAGGAATAAAGGAGTGAAAAGAGACAGAGAGCGAAAAACAATTATTCTTGCATATCATAGTAAATATCTTCACAAAATACAAAAACATTTTTTTTACATGGAAACATTTTCTGTTTGTTTTCTTCAGAGCAAATGAAACATGGGAGTTATTTCATATTTTTCTTTTAAGTTTTCAAATTACTGAATCTGTAGAAACATTTAAACCAGTTAATGTAGGAATACAACATATTCAATAAATTTAGGTTCCTTTTTTTCTAAAGACTGCTCAGATCTACCCAACATGCACTGTAAAACAAATACAACATTCACTAACACAAAGTGATAATTAAATATTCCATCAAAATTAGTTAGCTTATTAAAATTAGTTAAAGGCACAACTGGACAGAATGATTGAATAAAAAAGTAACCTTTTAGGAACTTGTGATGTACTGAATAAGCCATGACTATTCATCAACACTCTAAGATCCAAAAGAAAACACTTAAAAACTCAAATAAAAGAAGAATAAAACTGAAAATATAAAATGTTAAAATGATAGTTGAAAACAGGATTGACAGTGGAAAAACTAAATCTTTGAAGTTCACACCCATTTAAGTTTGTAGTTGACTAAATACAGTTTAACGACATCAATTTCTGAATTTTCTTTTAAGTATCAGATTTTTAGAAATGTTTACGTCAAACAATTGAAGTCACTTTTCGATGGCTATGTTTGACATTCTTAAATCAAAGCCTTAAAAACCATCTAATGTTCAAGTGGGACTCAGTTCAGCAACAGTAAAATCAGTAGACAGAAAAAATGTGTATAGTGTGGATAAACATCAGGTCTGCAAAGTCTACCACTTATCTCTGAGCACAAAATGATAAAATTCAGACAAATGGACAAAGAATTAAGCAATGTGGGAAAATTACAAATACTGTAAGCAACATTAACACAAACAGACACACACAAAATAAAAATTTCAGCCAGCCTGCTGTCTTGTCATGTTACAATGGATCAGAGATTGGATCTTAATCCACTACTAGATCCATATAACAACACAGGCAATGGAGGCTTGTGTGTGTGTGTGTGTGTGTGTGTGTGTGTGTGTGTGTGTGTGTGTGTGTGTGTGTGTGTGTGNTTCCACTAGTGAATGCAAGTTTGAGTTTCGTTCCTGACAGAAATATAATGTGGATTTTAGAGAACACTTCAGCTTTTTACCTGAATGCTGCCAGATATTCTGCATCTCCCATCGGAGGATTTAACCCTCCAGTCCATGCCACATTCACATTGAAGCCCTTGCCTGCACCTGCACCCACCTAGAAAAAAAAAGAGCAGGGAAACAGAGTGAGTCTTGCAAGAGAGAAAGTCTCTGTGTGAAAGTCAACAAAGTTCACAAATTCCAAGCGAGAGTTGAGAAATGGCATGCTGATGACAAATTTGTGTCAAACGTTCAGAAAACCAGCACCGCTGTTGCAAAACTTGGAATTGCAGCAACACGGTGATAGTGGCTGCATCTCTTTAAGGCAACACCAGGGARTGATTAAATGATTTCCAAACTAAATACGGTTGGCTGTTAATTCAACACCCCTGTCCACATATTTTGTTTTCTATACTGTTTATCAAATGGCYACATAAATCACTGACTCACAACAGTTACACACGTTCGTAACTTTCAAGCTTTAAGTTACAATTTGACTTGATCCATAAAGAAAACAAATAAAAGATATTATATATGAGTGACAGTATAAAGTGCATTTTTATTCCCAAAATATACACAACTGGAATGATTTTACTGCACCTGGTGTATATGAAATATTCATGAAAACATGCAGTGTACTGAACTCGTACATGTTTTAAATGAGACGTATTAAAATGCCAGGCAGAGTGGATGAAGCTCCTCTCAGGTTGACCTCACAGATTCAGGGCAGAGAGTGAACTGAGGCCCGGGTCCTGGAAAGAAGTTAAGGATTCTTGTCTCTCTTTGTAGTCCTGCGAGCAGCCATTTAACTGCTCCCCAAACCCTTCACCATCAGTCAATATGTCAGTTTGAGGGGAGATTGAGGAGGTTGATTGACACCCTCTTGGCAACAATGTGTAGTAATATCCTTTGTGTGTGTATGTGTGTGTGTGTGGGTGTGAGAGGATGCTTAAAAGAGAAAGAATGCTGATGAGCATCGCAGAGCGTCTGTCTCCATTCTTCTCTCAGCGGACGGGATGTTCACAGGGCAAATGAAAAACACATGAGGCCTCCTGTCCTCTGCCAACTGGTAATGTACCCACACGCACACGCACGTGCACACGGACACACACAGAAACACCCAGAGGCGTGCACACACATAAACATATTTCTACTATAGCTCCGAGTGCTTTGCACTTTTCTCTGTCCTTTTTCCTCTCTTTCATGTTTCAAGAGTTACTGGCCCGGATTAGGTCGTTGCTGCTTTCTGTGAGGTACTCTGCACTCTCTGTTATGGCTATGACATCACGCCCCTACCCCCTGGTGAGATATATACCTACATGGGGGACAGCAAGACTCCAGAGGTTCACCGCACTGCTCGACAAAGGCTGAGAGTCCACTTCAGGCAAAGCCACATCCAAGCCAGTGGAGCATTTTAAGAACCGTTCCTCATCAGGGGCTTTTATGGGAAAACACTGACTATTATTGTCGGGGAGGAGGGCAGAGAAAGAGGAGGGAATGTGGAGGATTTAATGGGTGGTGAATGTCAGTGTGAGATGGGGTCAGTTCATCTGACTAGGGATAATGATCACACTTAGTTTCTGGTAAACCCACAGGAAGAATGCACAGGCATTTTAATTTCTTGTATTCAAACAGGAATCCAATACAGCTGTACACATCCTGTTGCAAAGAATTGACATCCAAAGCCCCCGAGGGTCTCAGATAAACAAGAAGCACAAAAGCAAACATATGTCGTCCCCACACCCCCCTCCCAAAAAAAGACAATGAAATGTCCTCACCAGATGAACATTTTTGAGGCATTTGAAAAGTTTTGTCTTGAATAAGTTATCATGCAACCCAAGATGAAGCAAGAACTGCACTGGGCAASTTAACAATACTTGAAACTATTCATGCTGTACTGAAATACACCATAGCTACTACTTCAAACAAAACCTTTCAGATACTTTATATTCAGATTTATTCTATAACAATGTCAGATTTTAACTGCAGGACTGAAAATACTACAGCTGATAGAAGTATTTTTGCTATAAATCCTATCTGCACAAACCTGTTGTTTTGTTTACTGTCAGGGAAAAACTGTAATCTTTAATGACCTAAGTTGGCTTACAACTGGAGGTTTATGCCAAATATATTTATCTTTGATGGATTGCAACTATTATTCTAGTTTTGACAAGCTCATAGTAGCTACAGGTCCCAATTAGAATTAAACAATTACAGACTTGAGAAAAACAGCTGTATCGTTCATAATTATCCAAAAATGACATTACAAAAAGTAACTACCGAATTTATTCATGTATAATATGATCATCATTTTTTGAGCTTAAAAAGCATTAAAAATCTAACTAGAGAAATTACATTTCCTGTGAAAATGCTAGTGTGGATGCTTCATGCTTAAAGCTGCTGAAATTGTGCTGAAAATATTTAATAGCAAGTGTTAATGTGAGCTCACTTTGAAAAGCTGAAAGCAAAAAAGAAAACTAACTTTGCAGAAAAACAGTAAAAAGTGGCCCAAATCTAGTTGAAAACAGAAAACAGCTAAAAGCTAAAATAGCTATATGTACGTAGCTGAAAACATATGTAAGAAGCATAAATAGCAAGTTAGCAGGAAAAAAACATAAAAAGTAGAAAACATCCAAAGAATAGCAGGAAAAAAGCAGATCTAAAACTGAAAAATGATAAAAAAAAGCTAAAATTAGCATGAAAATAAGTGAAAGGTAGCAGCCACAAGTTGAAATTAACACCCAGATAGTGAAAGTTGTGTAAAAAAAATTTAAAATTAGCAGAAAAAAATACAAAAAAGTACAAAGAAG